GTGTGTGTGTGTGTGTTGTGTGTGTGTGAAGATGCTAAACTTTCCACAAACTCCAAATCTAATCGATAATGAATATTTTAGATTACATAATTGCCAATTTAATAAAATAATAATTATAACTTAAGTTTTTTTTTATTATTATCAATAGCATATGCAATCATAAAGACGGCCTTGATTGAATTAATCTAAGAAATCAATATTACTAGAAAATGAATTACTGAAAAATGAATAACTGTACAAATATCTAAAAAGTATGATCCACGATATGTAAATAAAATGAATAAAACACTATGAGAAAAAAATTGCGCTATGCAAATTTATATTTAATTATTGTACAAATTAAGCGCTACAGATTTCCAATCACAATTTTATAATAGATTTCATTTTTTAAAAATTATATGTTCAAACAGAAAAAGAAAAAATATTAAGAGAAAACAAGTAAAGAAAATTAATACTGTTTTCTTTTAGATCGCTTGGATTTATAAATATTTAGTTAATTCTCTTCTGCAATAATATATCAGATATATAAAAATAGTAACATGAACAAAATAAAATAAGAACAAAGAGAAGAAACAAAAAATATTTGGAGCAAGCAAAAGTGAAATCTGGACAGGAAACAGTCTGAAGGTACTATGTGTAGAATCAGAGAATATATGTCTCGCTTCTGAAACGATCTGAGGCGCAGAATGGATGGGTAAATGGATAGATAGATAAATAAATAAATTGATGGATGGATGGAAGGGTGGGTGGATGGATGGGTGATTGGACAAATGGAGTTTTGCGGAAGGTAATTTGAAAACTCGAGAGCACAAACGGACTGAATTAATATCACCGACCTATATAGATCTCGAAAGAGGTTTCACACATCTTCTTTTCGTATCCGAGAGATCCGAGCGTGCATCATAGCGGTGGCTTTTAGGACCTCCGGACGAGTTTCGGATCGCGACGAGTTCGTGACTAATTTGCAAAAAGGGACGCCTAAAAAACGGGTCAGCTCGTTCGCATCAACTTTACATCTGTTCACGGCAAGGCGCAGGAATAAAACCGGAACGTCCACGCGATTTATCGATTTCTCTTTAACGCTTTCCAATTCAATTTTATTCGTATGAAAAACGTTTTCGCGTTTGGAAAAATATCTCGATCAAATATCGAGTCGAAAAAAGCGTTTCTTTCTAAAACTAATTCAGCGATATAAATAATTAACAGTATGTTTAATTAATAATTTATAATCGTGATATTCGACCCTGTCGTTTAATTAGAAGCTAAAGAATTTAAATAATATGTAAAAAACAATAAAAGTGAAATTTTTTCGAAGATCATAATAGACATCGACTATCATTATTAATATTAGTGTTTGCAATTGAAAAGCGTTAAATACATGTTATCTTTTAATAGCTTATAACTTTTAACGTTTCATTACTTAAGACAATTATAGAAACATCATCACGATTAAAGATAACACATATATATATCTATAAAAAAACGGAACACACCTTAAGACTTACTACAAAGATACTACAGTCTAAAGGTTAAGCGATAAAATTTAATGTTAGCTTAATAATGAAAATCGTACAGCTAACATATGTGACGGTGGCTTAGTTAATCTTACTGTATAAACCGAGCGCACTTACTTCTGACTAATTTAATTAATTAATCCTTACACGGTAATCTTACTGCGCGCCATCTCAATTGCTGGAAATGAGCTTAAAGTCACCGCTATAAAATTAACAAATTGTAATATATAATCAAAACTATGGAGATATAACCGGCACGTAATACGCGCAAAGAGAAATTCTGGCCGGAAGTTGTGTGAGTCCATTCTTGCACTCATCCTCTCGCACTCTCTCGTTTTTTTTTTTGCCACTCTTTCGCACCCTTTCTTTCTTGCCCTTTCCCGTCTCGAGCACTTATGAAAACTTGTTTCTCTCAGCCGTTCGGACGACGTCGGACGGTCTTTTAACGCCTATAGGGATGGTAATTCGTGTGTTGGGTCAAGGAGAACCGTTGAGGACCAGGAGCTGCGTCTCCGTTGGGAATGAAGGTCGGACTTCCAGTTTCGACGGTTTTGAATTTGGGAATCGGGAGGACATCTGCGGGGAAAAAAAAGGTAAGGAAGATCGTTAGAGCTCGTTTCATCTCTGGGAATACACGTTTCTCCCTCGAGTGCCACTCCTTTGGAGGAAACTCGAGCGAGTTTCGTGCAAGGTTCGGGTCGAGGATAGTACAAGACAGAAAAGGGATTAGAGAGGAGAGAAAGTGGTGGATAAAGGTTCACGAGCGTTTTCTCTTCGAAGATGGCCTTACTTCAAGTAGTTGAGCACGATCTCATGAAGTTCCTAATTTAACCCTTTAACCGAGTTTTTGTTTTTATATTAATACTATAATTATGTATTCTATGTTGATTGCAGCCTAATGATCTAAGTCTTATCTAAAATTATTGTTTACGTATATGATAATATGATACGAATTCAAGAGCATCGTACATTATAATACACACAAATTATCTCTATATCAAATGGCTTATAAATTAGAAATCGTATTATCTAAAAATTTGTCCTGAGTTTATTTAATTGAAAATTATATATGTACCATTTTGATAACGATGCACTTTTGGACGAACTTTTCATCATCTAAGTATATATATATATATATATCTACATACGTGTTAAGTTACATCTATATACTAATTTATGAAACTATATTACTAGATTTAACGTATAAAAATTATACGCATATTAAAATTACAGACGCCAGTAAAATATTTTAACTGCCTGCCCGGTTAATGGGTTAATGGATTAAGTGTACTTAGAGATTAAGCTTCGATTTATGAACATGTCAACACTAATGATTCAAACAATGCAAATTTCTATTACGAAATCATGAAACAAAAAAAAGGACTTTAAAAACTTTTAAAATAAATTTATACTTTATTTCAATCATCTTTAAGTAAATATACGAAAGTGCTGACATGTCGAATACCAGGCCAACTCGAAACTGAGACTTTTCCGTTGCAACGCAAAAGAATTCGTTATAGAAAAGCAGAAGTTATTTCCAGTGCAACAGCTCTCAATATAGTAATTATTATACAGGATGACACGCCTCAGATTCGAGAGAACATGGCGGGATATGTATGTTGGGACGCGCATAAAACACTGCACTAATTAAAAAGCTTGTCTCCACCGTTTCCGATACGTTCTGAATATATGCGGCAATAAAAATTCAAAGAATCCATTCAATCAATATTTTCTAACAGTGGACCACCTCTGTAATTCTGTTTTCTCATTAACGACAGCAACACCGTGCATACGAAAATTGTCGCGATATTGACTCAATAATTTCCGCATGAAAAATACGCATCAATTTTTACATCAAAAATTCTTATTCCACGTATAAAATATAAATATATCCGTGATATATTGCCTTTCCAATGAAATATTCTTCTATCGTGTGATGTTGATGTAGCTGCATTTCAATTGGACGCATATGATCGCGTATGCACGGTGGAAATCGCAATGCGTAATTGCAAAACAGAAGCGGCAAAAAGAAA